GTCACGAAACAATCCCGAAGTAGCCCCAGAATTGTCTCGAAAAAGTCATAATTTTGTTTCGGAATGGTCCAAAAAAAGTCCTGAATTAAGCCCGAAATGTTCCAGAATAAATCCAGTCCTTTAAGGCTTAAAAATTATTCCCTCACGCATAAGTTTTTGGCGACTTAAAAATATGTATGTCACAGATAACACTGGCACATAAAAAAAAGTTGAGTGTGCTTTTAACCAGACCCACCTACCCACATGTACTTCGACGCATGAAATCAGAGTAAATTGCGAAAATTTAGATTTGTTTGCCATTTATCGGGTTTTAGCAACTTACTCGAAATTTTGAGGGTGTATGAGTCAAACGGACCTCAGATTCGGATTCAGCGTGTCGAAGTACATGTCGGTAGGTGGATCTGGTTACAACCACGCATCACTTCTTTTTTTTTTGTGCGCCAGTGTAATTATTACGAAAAGACTGGAGGTCACCGCCAGATGTATTTTGAAAAACTTTTATTTCAAATCGGACAGTATTTAAACTCGAAATTTTTTGCAAATTCTAGCAAATAATTGCCCCCAAAATCTCAATTCTAGCATCACCCAACAGAGCGCAAGGCATCCTATATATACAAATCTTAGAAATAAACTAGAAAGATTTAATTAAAGTCCGCCTCATTGTCGGCCTTTTTTTGCTAAATTGCGTTGATATGTTATTGTAATGATTTCCATATTCCTATAATAAAAAATATAAATTTTCAAATACCTCATCCATTCTGTTACAAGTTCTACCTCTTAAAGGTGTATATGCATTGACTTAATTCATTCACCACTTTGCGTTTATGCAGCAGTTAATACTTATTAAGCAACCACTAATGCTACTCAAATTAGCCAAAGGCAAGTCAATAATATCATTTGCAAACACTGCGGATAACAATCAACGACAGCAATACTAACTGCCAATAATGACGAAAACTGTATTTGTGATGGTGACAAACGTATTTCAATGTATTTGACATACAACTCCGTACCAAGCATATGAACTCGTATGTATATACGGTATCAACGACACTTAAGAGCTTATAACATACACACTTTCACATGTGTAATGTGTATGCTTTCAAAGATGCGGGGGAGACTTGGTAGGAAATCTGAGCCCAAAAGTTGATAGGCACACATTAAACATAAACGAATAATTACGGTGTAAACCAAATTTAAAATAAAATCCAAATTTAAAATAAAATCCTAGTCTGACTTGTTTAGAGCAAAACGCCATAGGAATGTAAGTAGTCAATAAGGTAGGTAGCTTGATTGTCTGGTGTCATAATAAGATGTGTCCACAAATTCACAGTCTGGACAAAATAAACAGCATAGACAATGTTCAGGTTTGTAGGAAGTTTACGTAAAACTGAAATATCATTTTTTACAAGAAATGCAACAGAATGACGTTACCATGGGCTAAATGACTTCTGAGCGACTAACCGGGAATCCATCCCGATGAAATACTTTACAGTGGTACCGGGGGAATCAGTGCATAGACAACAGGAGGTTTAGTGAGTTAAAGTCTCACACTGACAATCTTGGGGTTTAGGATTTCGATGCTTCCTTCTAAAAAAAAATAAAAATGCATGCAAATCGAAAATGTACATCACCTCGATAATCGGCTCAAGCCGAACCCTTCCGAGCCAAATCCAAATATTGAAGCATCATATTTCAGACTCCATTATGATTCCTAACTTGGACTCATATTGGCCTACTCTTCTAAGAAGGGAAATGTGCTTTTTGGACTATTTTTTGAGCTCTTTGGGCAATACCTGTTTGATATTTGAGAATTCTTAATAACAAAATCCCTTAAGTTCTTTAGATTTTCCTGCAGGGAACGCATATAACATATATGTACATGACTCAAAATATACAAACCAAAATATCGCTGGGGAATAACAACTTGTCAAACCGAAGCCGCTTTGGCTTTATTAAAGGATCTAAATTTACGCTTACTCCAAGGTGTACGAATATCAGTTTACAAGAAAACGCAAATCTGCATACATACGTACAAAAAACATATGTGTCCATGGCGTACGAACACATGTACATATGTACATTAGATCGTATCGGTGAAAAAGCTCGCCGGACGCCCCAGAGTCTAAAGCATTTTTACACAGTAATTCCGAGATAATACTTTATTTACTTTTGGCTTTTTAACCGACTTCAAAAAAAGGAGTAGGTTACCAATTCGTCGTCACATTTTTTTGTGTACATGAACGCATAACTTTGGACCACGTTAACTGACTTCTTTGTTTTTTTTTTTTAAAGGAACGTGTTACCTCCAGTGACCGAACATAAAAGTTATTGGTGAAAACTGTCATGGGAAAATGTTCTGCAGTTAAGTGATACACACCAGTCGATTTCCTTTTTCGCCGTGACTCAAATTTGAAAACAAATTTTTACTTTTTTTAATAATTATTCTTGATTTTTATATTACATGTCTTAGATAACAGTTATTGGAGACATTTAATTATAGAAGTCATCAATAAGAATCAGTCAGTGACTCTTACTTTTAACAGTCATCAATACAAAACAGTCACCGACTTTTATTTTTTAAAAAACATTCGTATAAAAGTCATTAATATTCTTCGCAGTTAAAATGTTGTTGGGAAACAAAGGATTACTACGACTTTTAAAAAAGACTTTTATAAGTATGATTTAAAAAATTAAGGTCAGTGACTGATTTCTATTTAAGATTTATTATTTCGATAACTGTTATCTAAGTCATATAATTTAAAAATCAAAAATAACTGTTATTTGAAGATTATTTATAAAAAAATCTAAAATAATTGTTATTTTTGATTTATAAAATAAAAGCCAGAAATAACGGGTTTTAAGGAGTAATTAAATAAAAGAAAAAGAATAATTGTTAAAGAGCGATTTTTAATAAAAGTTGTAAATGTTACGGCCCCTAGTTACCTGAGAAGGAGTCCCATTCTAATTTGGATCCGATTATAGGAAATTAACGGTACCCCTAAATTTTTATATGATATTTGTTTTTTGCTTAAAAATTATTTAAATTCTTTTTTTATCTTCGAAATTTACCATCGTATCAAAAAGTATCATGTATCGATGTTTTTTTTTTAGACTATTTTTCACTTCAAATTTCATTATCATCAAGTATATCGTTCTAGTACCTGCTTATCAGATCTCAGTTTTTATCACCCTAATATCAGTAAATTGAAGCTCATTAAAATTTTCCCAAGGAAGTATTTCGTTCCAAAGGTAAATTCTTTTTTTTTGCCGAACGTAGGAGTCGCCTTTGTAATTTTTCGTCGTATCTTCGGCATTTACAGTCAGGGCTTAAATTATGACTTTTATTAAGGAAACATTTTTCATTATTTCAGTAGAATGACAAAAATATATATATGTAAATGTTATCGGAAAAATGTAAAAATTTTCGTCCAAAATTTATTTATTTATTTATTTATTTATTTTTTTCAAATTGCCTTGCAAAAATACTTTTGACTCAGGAGTTTACGCCAAGTTTTATTTATTTTTTCTTGCAAGATGGTTCCGTATAATGTACATACATATTTACATGCTTATATACATACATATGTGCACAATTGTTGTGGCGTGTAGCATGTGGCATGCGACATGCGGCAAGCTATTGTAGCGAATTTATTCAATTTACACACAATTCAATTCTCTGTATCAAATGCGAATATACTCGTATGCTTACACATTACTTACATATGTATACCCCGGTGCACATACATATTTGTCTACCATTGCGTATTTGGGCGCCGCTGGCGATCCATCTAAGCAGATTGTATTGCATGCACAAACAACATAAACCAGTTGAATGAGAAGAATAGTACACAGCAACAACAGCAACAACAATAATGCCAACACAAGTAACAAAATATAATCTGTAGCGATTTAGCAGCATCTGTGTTTATTTGTTGGACATTGTGTGTGTGTGTGTGTGTGTGTGTGTCACATATAAAAATATTTACAAATACACATACATACATATAAACAAGCGCACAATGAACAAATCAAATAAATTATATCAGCTGTGAAAATAAATGCGTCTACTTCAAGCGACTATCAAGTATCGCTGTACACTAAGTCTTGTTTTTTTTTTCATCGTCTCTGCTGGCGGCAATACTTGAAGTGCTTCTGTATTAACAGCACAAAAAACATCAGCACGCCGGATATTGATGATGATTGCTTAACAAGTGTACAAACAAACAAAAAACCAAAAGAATAAAAAACGAAAGCAACAATTGTTGAAATTCGACGGAAGTAGGAAGAAACACGCACAAAAACACTGCTGCGGGAAAAGCTTTGTAGCTTATTCCCCTTTGTGCACAGGATTTATGCGTGTTAACAGAAGTCATGAAATGTCTAGAAATGAAAGAGTTGTAGTGAGGGCGGAACCGAAGCACACTTAAGATATAGAACTCAACACTTATGTATGTATGTACACACACCGGCACTCACATTGTATCATTCACATGTGTGTATCAATTTGCTATTAAGTGGAATTGAGTGTTGAGAATTGGCTGTGAAAATTAAACCACAAAATCCTTTAATGTCTTTTTTGGTTTTTCGCTGCTACATACTACTCTACTCGAAAGGGGAAATAATTGTTAGTGTCTCAATGAGTAATACAAACCACATCAGCGATTAGTACAAGCAAGTAAGAGGAGGAGCTACCACAAACTACAATAACGTTATTGAGAAGCAAGGGCTTTTTCGGTGAATAAGTAGGGGGCCATTCCATTGTGACAGATATTTTTTAACGATGATAAATAACTAATGTATAAAACTACTTTCAAAAAAATACCCAAAAATTTGTAAGTTATTTATAACAATTATTTGAATACATGTGACTGGTTGTGAGACTGAAAATCCCTCTATTTTATATTTGTGCACTCAAAGCCGAATTTTAGCCAAAACACTTACTTTTCAAGCCAGATTGTTTTGTGTTGTAAAAAATATACTATACGCCTTCGTTTCCATTAAAAATTTAGCTGATATGATCTTCATATAAACATTTAACCCTTTGAGGGCAGTTGTTGCTTGTAAGCAACATTGGCATTTTGAGATGTAAATCTGGTTTTTTGAGATATTTCTCCAACGATTTATTTCACGGACCGTAACAGTTACAACTTTTATTAAAAAAAAATCGCTCTTTAAAAATTATTTTTTGACTTTTATTTAAATACTTGTTAAATAACAGTTTTTCTGATTTTTATTTTATAAAACCAAAATAACAATTATTTTTGATTGATTTTTAAAATCATACTTATAAAAGTCATTTGTATAAGTCGTAGTAAACTTTGGTCTCCAACACCTTCTTAACTGCAAAAACAATTACAATGTCTTTTGTACTTTATATAAATAAAGTTCTTCAAAAACTGTTATCTAAGCCATATAATATAAAAATCAAAAACAAATGTTATTTACATCTTATTTAGATAAAAATAAAAAAGAATTCTTATATTGGACTAGCCAATGCCCGCTAACTTCGCGGCGCCTAATAAGAGCTTTTGCGTTAGCCAATGCAAAAGAGCGTTTAAAAACAAAATTAGTCTGTAAAGTCAAAGTTTTTGATTTAAGTTGAAACCACTAAGGCGCAGTATCCTCCTCACACATAGGCAAATAGTAGTAACGCTGTGATACCATATGGAATACCAATCCCTTTTGGTGTCATGAGCTTTACTGATGGTCTTATTTTCACCTGTGAGATCCCTGCCAATCATGCGTAATCTTTTTGTATGATCTTACGTATGCCAATAAAAGTTGTTATAGGAAACTCAAGAGCACAGAAGTGCATTTTCTTTATAGGAAGGCCAAGAATCCTCGCTGTCCCATAGGATGAAAAGTTTTCCGGTACATTGCTAAATGAGTAGTGTGATCTCCTCTTAAGTATCGTGAAACGAAGCAGTTGATATACCTACGGTGATCTTTCCTTGTTAATTCGCCACTTTTACAATTCGTGGTAAAATTTATGAACTGATTTCAGGGTAGATGCAAGACCGCATGATCGTGCATGAGGGCGTCAGAAAAACTTAACCCCATGTTTCATTTAAACATCTGAAAACTAAATTCGTATAACTTAAACATAGGTCCAAAGCAGACCAACCACACGGGGTTTCTATACATTTCGGCTGCATAAGCCATTGGGCTTATTTTCTGCAAAACCATTGCTTACCATAAAATGAATACGTGTTATGAATTTCTACCTTAACTCCAGCGGCACTAATCGGGTAAATTTTTATCAAAAGAATTTTCCATCATACAGGTACATAGCTCACATTTAAAATTTGAACGAAATCGGTTAATAAATACGATTTTTATAAATAACTCTACTCCAGCACCACCTATCGAGTTCTATAGTAGCATGTAATTGGACCATATATGTATGTAAGATAACCTCCGACAATCTGACGGAACTCTATTCAGTGTTTTTTGAGTTTATTCCGAACAACGAAAACGGCTATCATTTTATGCAAATAGGTATGTAGATAGGACAGATTATAGCGAAACTCGTAAAAGCAAAGCTCCATTCTTTTTGAAAAACTTAAAAAAATTCTTCAAAATTTTCACAAAAATATTACCTTACTGAAAATTAAAGACAAAGTTACAATAGTTCAATGGGA